GTCAGTGCCAAAATGGCGAAAATCAAATCGCCTCAATGTCACGGTGTAAAGTCAATCTCACAGACTACTAAGAGGATACTACGAATTCTCAAATAGATGAACTACTTACAAATTACACGTTGTTGAAAGAGTAATTCGATATACGAGTACAACATATAGGGAACAAAAACCATGTGGTCACCGTTAAGTGCGTTATCAGAATCAGTATTCCAAGGCATAGAAATGGTCAATCTAGAGTCCGTTTTTACCGTAGACAGAGAAACCTAGATTTCTCTGTCTACGGTTTTCCCTATATAAAAAGGTACTCTGTAGCCCGTTTCACGAAAGAAGTCCCTTAGCTATGGAGTGTAGAAGTAAGGAGTACAGACTCTGTATAAAAAAGTGTCCGTCCGTAAAATATTTGACGTCACAAATCGCCGCCATTTTTGGACTGTGAGCACTGGCCACGTAGTGTAGAGGTAAGGAGAACCGTCTCTGTATTAAAAAGTATCCGCAGGAAAGCCCTAAATAAGGGTGGCGCCACTGTAGCTACAGTCTAAATTATAAAGAACTTATTATAATTTTTATTGCACAGACTTTCAGCATAACTCTTTTTACAACAATTATTTTAATTCTTTCAAAATTTTTATTTTCAAAATCACTCTCAACGTATTTTACGGTGATTTATCACTGTATTTTGTAACACTGTATTTTCTATTTAACCTGTAGCTACTCGAGTTTTTGAACTGTTATTTACGGATGGACACATTTTCAATTATTCTGCTATGGGGGGTTGTCCTCCTTACCTCTATACTTCATGCCCTTAGCCACGGCACCATAGTCTTTGCTTTGCAAAGTTTGACATCTGATGTCAAATTCCATACCAACCATCATGGAGGTTAGAGAACAGGAGAACGCTCGCTGTAGAAAATAGTGTCCCAGAAATATGGACAAAATAAGTGAAGCGCTGCGATCGCTAAGTTGTCTCAATAATTTTAATTATTATAAATATTATAAATTACGAATATAAATTATTAATTATTATTTGTTATGTATCAATATCCGGAATCCATCTTGAGTCAAACAGTTGTCTTTCCGCCTAAAGTCGGCACTTCCGGCTACCTTACCTGCATGGAGGGGGAACCCCACCACAGTTTTTGCTTTGTTATTTAAGTAGTGATGAGCACCAGGTATCGCCATTATAGCGTTGTTTTTCGCGCCTTTCACAAGTCAGCCTTTGTAAGCACGAAAAAGTTTCAATTATACTAAAACTAAGTGATAAATAACTACCCTACTGATAAAATATAGAGGAACAAAATGTCGACGAAGTTACATTATTAAATTCTCAAAAACGTGTGCGTACTTGATCATCGAGTTCGGATAGCAGTGATTCGTTAGAAACAACAGTGACGACAACAGAACAGTGTTTGCAGTCAACCAGGATGCACAAGAAAAGAAAAATGAAGCAAACCGTGAGTAATAAACATTTTGAATTTTTACCCCAGCAAGTGGCCTTTTTAACTAATATTATTACAAAATCTAGTGAAGTTTCATGCCAAAATCAAAAAATAGTCCCTTCACTTAATCTTAACTTGCACCGACCTACAACAGAAGGCGGTGACAAAATAAACCAGCTCAAGCTATCAGATTTAAGTACCACAGTAAAAGATCCTATTTATCCACGTGCAAATGAAATACATTTAAGGAAATTAGTAGAATTACAGCATTTTAATTGTGATGATTGGTATGCTGTACGGTTTATCGATGCACAGAAAAAATGTTTACCTACCCCCCGTTTTGTCGAACTTGCTGTAAATATAAATGTATTGTTGCATGAATAAGTCAACCAGCGCCATCTAGTGAGAGCGGGGGGAGCTTTGCAGTAAATGACATCACAAATCTTTCGACCGACAGCGCCACCCGAAGAACTAAGTTTCTGGAAAATCTACACTCGAATACTCGTTGCCTGGCGCGTATTTACTTGAATGTTCGGGACGCTTCTTTGCTAATTATATAAATAGGCGCTGCAAGATGCGATCGGGGCAGAGTTGAACTCGGCGACACAAGCGAAGCTTCGGAGCGGAATTAAGTGAATTAGTGTGTTTAATTACTAGGGTTTTAAGTTTTAATTTGTGTAAAGTAAATTAAAGTGTTAATTTAGGTAATTTTATCGGCAACTTTTATTGTCACGAACCTCAAGCTCGTAACAGTATTATTATACGTAGAAATTTTAAGTACTAGTAGATTGGGCGAGGTCTTGCAAAAAATCTCTCCTAACTTAGAAACTCTCTTCAACGAAGATTCCATTCAGACCTACATTCAGAAAATTGGAGGGGCAGATAAATTGATCACTTCATCCCGATCATTGCCTCTTACTCGAAAAGAATTTTTTTATGCTAATCGAAAGCCATCGACGAGTAAACAAGCTGATGATATATTTTTTCATCGAAGCAATCCCTCGAAAAGAGGAAAACGTGCACCACGCCCATCCAACTAAACGAATCAAGATAAATCGGGCAAAAATAAACAAAGAAGAAAGAAATCGCAGTCGCATTCTTCCTTTAAAGATAACCGTCGTAAATGACTCTTCGAGAATTTCATGGCGGCTGTCTGAAACAACTTCAAAGTGTTTGGAGCAATTTAGGCTTACCGGAAGAAATATGCAGACTGTTAAGCCGCTCGTACATCCCATTCATACTCTAATACTTCCAAATCAAATTGTGATTCAGAGCTACAGGACCAAAAATTCCTTAAATATGACTCGTCAAATTCAAAGTATGTTAAAATCCGGAGGTCTCGAACAGGCGGAGCCGAGTGCCAGTTTCCTTTACACATTGGGTGCGTTTGGCAGAAAAAAGCGCTAGCAAGCGCTTACAAGCGCTGAAATAGTTTTCGGCCAGGACACGATTACTACTTCAGTAGCGCTGACACAATCCGCCATTTTGCTTATTTAATTTGTTTGTTTTGAAGTAGATTTTATAAATTGTTTTGTGCAATATTAGTTTTAAGTAATATAATAACGTGAATAAACAATGTTATTAAAAATTCATGATTGGTAAGTTTTTAATATGAATACTTTACAAACATATATTTAAATTAGGTTAGGTTCCCCGGTTAAAACTAACATCGTGTCCTGGAGGAAAATAGCTACTTACGATTTGACAGCGCTTACCGCTTACGATCGCCATTTTGCTTACAAGCGCTTGCTAGCGCTTTTTTCTGCCAAACGCACCCATTCTTTTTGGTGCCAAAATCAGACTGCAGCTACCGTCCAATATTCAACTTGAAACAACTGAACAGGTTCGTCAAAACGAAACCCTTCAGATTGTTCAGACACTTTTTAAGTACCCACCTTCCTGCAGCATCAGGATTGGATGGCAAAATTAGACCTAAACCAAGCCTACTTTCACGTTCTTATTGCTCGGCGTCATCGATACTTGAGACTAAATTATCACATCAATTCAAACCAGCATCAACTGGTCCAGATGACCTGCTTCCCGTTTGGTCTTTCCTCTGCACCGAGAACGTTTGCCTCAATAACAAACTGGGTAGCAGAGTTTCTCGGAAATCGGGGCATCAGATGTGTAGTTTATTTGGACGATTTTCTATTGGCAAGTCAGTCGATGCAACAACAAGAAGATATACCATTAACGATAAAGATCATGCAGTTACTAGTTTGGACAATAAATTTCGAAAAGTCTGTTCTGATTCCGACACAGTGCCTCGAGTTTCTCGGCCATTACATGGGACACAAAACTCAATGCGATGTCCTTGTCGGAGAAAAAGTGATTAACGCTACGCAACGCACTTCAGCAACAGTTCTTAAAAGACAAGTGGTCCCTCAAACAGTATCGGATCTTAATGGGGAGACTCAATTTTGCCACTTACGTAACCCGGAGAGGTCGTCTTCACTGTCGAACACTGCAATACTTCAGTCGACAGTTGTCAAAGGACCACCCTAACTGCCAAGTGAGTATTCCACTACCAGTTCAATCTGAGATGGAGTGGTTGCTACAAGCTATAGGTCAGTCTGTACAAATAAACAGCTAACTTCGCAGATACTACTTACGGACGGCATTTCAGATACATCCGGGCTATGCTTTAGTACGTAGCGATCGTTCTCTTCTCTCTAACCTCCATGATACCTACATTAAATTTAAGTTCACACCATGAAGGTTAGAGAACAGGAGAACGATCACTACGTACTAAAACATAGCCCGCCGGCCCTTGAAAATTGTAGAATTTATAGCGGCGCTGATGTCGGTGAGTAGTGACTGCGAGGTTAGCTGTTTATGAGTACAAGTAGATGAAGTTAGTTGTGTACAAATTTTCTCCGCGGCATTGGTGAGAAAATTTTCATGCTCCGTAATTTTGTAATTTTTGACAAAAAGGAACATTAAAAAATGGAGAAATATTTTATTGTGCGTGGAAGTGCAAGTGGTTTGGCATCTGATCAGAAAAATAGACTGAAAATGACTTTTATTGACCGAACTTAGAGATCGCAGCGCCTCACTTATGGTGTCCATATTTCTGGAACACTATTTTCTACGGCGATCGTTCTCCTGTTCTTTAACCTTCATGGTTCGCACATTTTCCGCGGGACTTTTTTCGTGAAACGGACTCTAGAGGTCAGTGCTATTAAGGTCATAGAGAATTTTTTTAGTACAACATTATGGTATTAGTAATATGCTAATTTTCATACCTCTATTATATTATAATTAAATAATAAAAGTAAACCCAAATTATTACGAAAATGGTCACACATAAATCGAAATTAATTTCTGATTACAGATGTAAGGTGTGTTATGATTAATACTTATGGCAACTTGTGAACCAAAGAGTAAAGTAATTTGGCAATTGGTTGGCAACACACGGTTATTTTCGGGTCAAGGTCAAGTTCATCTTGGTTTTTATATTTTGGTTTATTTGTTTTTGGAATTTGGATTTTGGACTCTGAACTTCACCGGTTGATATTAGATTGCGGTTAATTTTGTTAAGACATCTGTGTAATTACTTAAGTTATGCATTCATTAAAAAATCCCTATGTTTTTGTGCAAAGTAGTAGAAACCTTATTGGTGAGTAAAAATACTCGGTCAAATATTCACTTTTCATTTCCTCTTCACATTCATAATGTTTTGTATTTTATTTCAGGCATATTTTCCAGATTATGTTCATCAAATGCTGGAATTCCCCAATACGAAACTTTAGCGGTATCTGTACCGAAAAAATATGTTTATCACGTTGAACTGAACCGGCCCAACAAACTTAATACATTTACGCCGAATATGTGGAAGTAAGTATGTTATAAAATAAAATTTGTTTCTAAAGGCTGAAGATCATACATTGCTTGAAATTTAATTCACGATCGGCGAATTTTTGTCTATAAACAAGTATTAATACTGGTCAATTTAAAATGAAAGTGATTAAGTATATACTCTTTCGATAGATTTGAATGTGGTTAAAAAATGATTCCTATTAAATGTAATGAAAAAACAAAGAGTATATTATTATTTATCCTATAGGGTAAAACACCCAGTAGTCAGCCTTTTAGTGAGGACTAAAATTTGATTCAATTGTATTTTAAATATTGAACACTATGAACAAAAACAATCATTATTTTTGGAAAAGTTGTTTATTAAATTTACTAAAGAAATTAACAAAAAAATATATTTATAATAGAATTATATAAAAAACGAGTAGTAAACAAATTATGGCACTTTTCACCAGTAGTCAGCCTCATTTTTCCACAAGTCAGCCATGTTTACCCTGTAGTCAGCCTCTCACTTATTCTTACATATTTGACATAAAAATTCTTTATTATATATATTTTCATATATTTCTCCAGCGAATTCAGTACAGTTCAAATGATACCATGCAAGGCAATTGTCACATCCAATATTTTTAAGTCATTAATTTTTGTATCGCTAGTCAATTCTTCTTCACAGTTGTTGCATCTTATTCTGTTTATTGTACATGTATTTTTCTTCCTATTTTACTATTTTTCGTAGTCATAGCTTGTTTTAATTGCTCTTCTTTGTATTGGTGGATTGGTCTTTTTGACATTATGGAATTCTAAAACAAATGATATTCACGCTAAAATAACCGTGCATAAATTCAACCCAAACTAAAAGGCTTTAAGGTACTATTTTATGCAACAAGACTAACGGCTGAGTACTGGATTTGTAGACCCATTGGTCGGCCCCCGATATGCAATTACATTCGTACGCGGCCGACTACTGGTAAAATACACTTTTCGTCTCATAAGAGTTAAACCGAAAGTAATGGGCAAAATTGGGACTATTCGCTTCGGCAATCTCAACCACATATAAGAAAATCATGAAAAAACCAGTAGTCAGCCACTTAAGGCTGAGTACTGGATCTACCCTAAAAATTCGAAACCCGGTAGTCGGCCACCTAAATTACAACATATCAAACAAATAAAATGCATTTAATAGTTAACTTTATGACAGAATAATCATTTTAGTGTAAAACAGTACAACAATCTACCATAAATTACAGCAAATACACCCAAAAACTTAACGAATACTCGAGCGCGTTTCCTTAAGAAAAAAATTGCAAAAGCGATGCGTCTAGTCATGTCTTTGACAGCAGTGTAAATTAATAAGTATAGCTCATCAACCTGATGAGCTATTGGTTCGTAGGTGTGCATATTAACCAATAAGGAGACATGGATTCAATTAAACGTTATTTTAAAGGTGTAGAAAAATATCAGCACTATTTATAAGGAAATAATGTCTGTAAAGGCTGAGTACTGGCACAGGGCTGACTACCGGGCGTTTTACCCTAGTCCTATACAGGAAAAGCAAAATCTCTAAGACAATATTGTCCTAAATCCAAATGCAAAAAGGAAAATACACATTGTTTTATATTGATCAGGTCTAAGGCATAAAATATTTGAGGACATGTGAAGTCAATATGCAATGGGTTATATATGTGTGGCTGACTAATTGCTCCAAAAATCTCAGAAATGAGGAGGCCTATGCCTAGTTGTGGACATACAAATGAGCTACTTACAGAAAAGCTATCCAATAAAAAGTTTGATTCATCATTACCTCATACCATATTATTTTCATTAATTATGTACCAACTGTATATGAAGAATATATGTACACAAAGCCAGTCATGAAGTGGTTATTAAGCTTTGAAATAATCTAAGGGTAAAACTCATATATCCTGTAGCACGAAAAGTGGTAAAAAAGGTTACTGAGGGGTGTAGGGGAAAGTGGAACCCATATGTGCTCACCGCCCCATTGTTATTTATTATCTGTGGCGACCTAAAACTGTGGTTTGATTTTTGAATGGTACCGTTTGCTTTTGGTACTGTACACTTTAGCATCATAAATAAAAACTTCAAAGTGTTGGCGCCATTTTTTCTTTAACCTTTGGAAAAATAAAAAGTGAAAGTGTGGTGTTTACGATGGCGAGAAGTAAAAAGTAAGTTTATTATTATTTTTTCGTAAGTAAAACTGTGTAAAGCAGTTTGTTATATGTATTAGTTTACACTTGGTTAGTTTTGTATTAAAAATCGATTCTGTTGAGATTTAGTTTTTTAGAGGCATTATTTATAGCGCCCCATTATTGGGGCGCTGGTCGCGTACTTGCATGTTGATTTTAAATTTCATAGTATATGCGTTATATTTTATTTACATTGTTTATAGCTACTGCCAGTTATATTGGTACTTTATATGTTATATTTTTATATTTATTTTGTTGTTTTAGGTTGAGTTTGGCAGCAATGATTGACATATTGGAGATGGAAGATGACATTGTTGAAGGTACTATCTACACATGCTCGCCTAGCAACCATATGTTGAGGGACTGCAATAGTGACTAGGAAGATGCGCTTGTATTAATCACCTGACAGGCAACCAACTACGAGCCAAAGCGCAGCTTGAATGTGTGCGCAAATCGGGTCCACTATTACAAACAGAATTTATAGGATTGGAGTCGAGTGATGACAACATACCCCTATCGGAGATCGCATCCACTTCTGCGCCAAAAAGAAAAAAGATCATAGAGAAAATAAAGTGGAAAAATCAGATTTACCCGAATATCAAAGAAGGGAATGCCATCATCCCGAGTTTATGGACACTAATAGGTCGCCTACTAAATTTTTTGAATTATTTTACGATGACTACATTGTGAATTTGTTTATAGAAAATTCAAGAAGGTATGCGGTTTTCGAAGGTAAACATTTTGATGTTACCAAAGAAGAAATTCGCTTCATCTTAGCAATACTTTTGCTAAGTGGATATAACGTTCAAGCAAGGAATCTCATGTACTGGGATACTGGAATCATCACCCTTGCGTAACTAATGCAATATCTCCATCTCGATTTGAACAAATACTTCGATTTATGCATGTTTCTGATAACGCAGCTTTAGATGTCCAGGACAAGTTCACAAAAGTGCGACCTTTATGGGAGAAACTAAACGAAAAATGGATGAAGTATCTTGGTGTCGTGTTCGCTGGAGTGTTGAGGTCAGCTCCCTATGATGGGATAAAATGTTTGTAGACTGAGCCGGCACAAACATCACCTGAACCTACTGTTGCTATTACTAACTTGATATGTACTTTTGTATTCTTGAAAAAGTATTATTTTGTTATCAATTAAACTCTACTACACTTAGTTTCATGTATTATCATAAAGTAGTAGAAATGAAGTTCCATAATTATACAGTAGACCCCCGGTAATCTGGCCCCTGACTAATCCGCACCCCCTTGTAATCGGACATGCCTAGAATGAATCTGCCAAAGGGGGGGGGCGGGGTGGTGTCCTTTGCGAATATGTGGACAAACAGGTTACAACTGTTTTGTGCCATTGTCTCGGTTTAAGTATGACTATGGGGCCCTACTAGTGGGCATTCATCATTTACTGTTCATAGATTGTTTTGTAAAAAAATATTTTCTCCAATGAAATTAATCTAAAATGCACAAACCATGAAGAAAACAGAATATGTTTGTATAGACTGTATACCATCCTGATATACTCTGATTTTAGCTTCCAGGAACAATATGTTAATTGTAACTTTATATTCTCAATTCCAGAGAGTTTTCTTCATGCTTCTCAGCTCTAAGCGACAATCCAGAGTGCAGAGTTGTTGTACTATCAGGTCAAGGAAAACATTTCACTGGAGGTAAAGTCCATTTCTATGACTAGTCTTATCCCATGTTCGTCTGAGACTTATAGGTTTCATGTTTAATTGGAACTTAAAACAAAAAGAATATGTAACTATGTTACTTTTTTTACATGTAGAGCCATGCTGCAGCTATATAGTGGTTGCAGTACCTCATGGTAAGTGTACGCTGTGGCCCATAGACATCTATATTTATCCTCGATTAAGAATCATAACACATTCGTTTTTACCCCTGGGAACTAAGATAAAATGCCTCGTTTCGAGTAAAAAAGGATCTCCGGATCTCTACACTCACCATACGAAACACAGGAGTATTAAGCTGCTATTTTACGCTGGTATTCTGTAATGGTCTTTCCACAATCGAGCCGACCCATTTGTGCTACAACCATAATATAGCTGCAGTGTGGGTCTATCATGTATAAAAGTGTAGTAATAAGTGTAGTGATCAAAGTACCATATATACACACATAAAAAAAAATATTTGAAAAGGACGAAGAGAGAACGAAATGTGAAATATGGGTAAATCAGGAATGTCTAGAACAGGTAAATGAAATTGTATACTTGGGGAGTGCTTTCAGCCGGGATGGAAAGATGTGATTTAGATGTGGATAGGCGTGTCGCTGCCGGAAACAAAGTCAATGGTGCCCTGAATGCATTGGTCAAAAGGCAAGGCGTGGTGAAGAGTGCACGCCCTTGCAATACATAACGCAGTGTTGGTACCGACTTTGTTATATGGCAGCGAATTTTTGGGTATGCCAGAAGAAGCATAAAAGCAAGTTGAATGCAGTGGAGATTCGATCTCTTCGTAAAATGTGTGTCGTTACCATAGCCGATCGAAAGCGAAACGAAGAGATTCGCAATATGGCAGGATTGAAAGATGACCTTATCACAAAAATTGATTGGGGCGTACTCCAATGGTTTGGGCACGTTGAGCGAATGAGTGAAGACCGAATGGTGAAGAAAATATATAGAGCGAAAGTAAATATTAAAAGGTGTCTAGGTAGACCGAGACTAACTTTCGAAGACCATGTGAGCAAATTGCTCGAAGAGGGGAAGGTCAAGAGTACTCGGATACCTAGACGTGCATGTATGAAGAAGTTAATGAACCTGAAAGAAGCGAAAGAGGTATGTAAGGATCGTGACACTTGGCGATCTGTTCTCTCTGGCTACCCCGTTAGGGATTGTGCGTGAAGATAAGTAAGTAAGTAAAAAAATTTACGCGACAAACCAACTTACAGTACACTTAATGGAAAATGGCTAATTCAGTCCATACACCTGCAGTAAACTTTTCAATACCTTAGTAAAAGATATCCCTATAATGGATTATATTCTATATCTCTATATATAAAAATCAATTGTTTTACTTTATTAGTCTTGCTTGAAACTCGAAAAGGACTTGACTGATTTTTTTAATTTTTGTGTTTGAATGTGTCTTGTATGGGTTTAGATTCTTATTGTTGGACTCTGTAGGTGGCGCTGTTGTCGAGATCCAGAAATGCTAATGCAATGCCAGGACTGATAACGAGTTATTTATAAAGTAATATGGTATCAAATATTAAATAATAATTCCATATTAATAATATTAAATTGAATTCGAAAAATGTAAATACTTTTACAGGTATTGATCTCAATGCATTTGTGGAAAGTGCAAGCAAAGCCCATGAGCTAAGTGATGTAGCAAGAAAAGCGCGATTCTTATTTAAAATGATAAAACAATACCAGGTACTAACAATTTATATTCCATATAATTCTTATTCTTCTCTTTATCTCTTCTCTATATTTTAATTTGTAGAATTATAATTTATCTAAATTTAGAGAACAAATTATAAAACATATCAAAGTCACCATTCAATATAAAAAAATCATCATCATCATCATTATTACAGCCCACTGCTGAACACAGACCTCCCCCAAGGAATTATACAAAGCACGGTCCTGTGCCATCTGCAACCATCCACTTCTTAAAGGTCTTACCAGTTAATCCCATCTAGCGGTGGACCGCCCTAAACTTCGCCTACCATACAAGACTGCCACTCGAGAACCTTTCTTTTTATCGGTTGTCAGTTCTTCGAGGTATATGGCTATTGTCACTTCAACTTACTATTCCGTTAGGCAATGTCAGTTACTCTGATTCTACTGCAGAAATCCTAATTTCTAAATCTATCTCCCAAAGAAACCCTCATAAAAAATAAACCCCATATAAAAAAAAATAAATTATTTTATTTCTATAAGCAAATATTCAAATATGATAATATAAGGGGAATGTTTGCCATAGTTGCCAGCTTCACAGCTATTTTGTTATAATTGCATTCTTATCAGAAAAATGCTGCTTGCAGTTTCCCTGTGTCACCCGCTATGTCACTAACGGGATGTTATGATTTAATGGATTCTACGTTGCTGTCACTACATGGCACAAGCAATACTTATTGTTTTATAATACAAATTAAAGTTAAAACTATTAGTATTATATAGAAATCATCATCACTAAATGTTATAAAACTCATTGTTTTATAACATTTAGTGACTAATACAAATAATAGAATAGAATAGAATCATTTTTGTTCAATATAAGATTACAGAAATACTTCATTAAAAGTCATTTACGCTTTTACCACTGGTTTGGTAAAAACCTTCTGTCTTGAGAAGAACCAGCAAGAAACGCAGGGGGCCTTTTAAACTTACTTTACACACATGTGTAGTAATAATAATCTGCATATTTTCTAGGACTTTATTATGCTTATTATGTGGTAGAGCCACGCTGCAGCTATATTATGGTTGTAGCATGAATGGGTCGGCTCGACCGGGGAAGGGCCATGCTGTCACAGAATACCAGTGTAAAATAGCAGCTTAATACTGCTGTGTTTCGTATGGCGAGTGTAGAGATCCAGAGACATTTTAGAAAAAAGGCATTCCATATTAGTCCTCACGGGTGACAACCCACCTGCGTTTTGATTCGTAATCTAGGATAAATGTGAATGTCTATGGGCCACAGCATCCACTTACCATCAGGTGGACTGTGTGCTCGTTTGTCACCCTTATTCTATAAAATAAAAAATAAAAATAAATTATATAAACAACCAAAAAATATTTTTTTTGTATTTCTATGCAGACCTGAAGTAACCGATTATCATTACTTTTAAATCACCTCTCGTATAGGTGTAGCACAAATGGGTCGGTTCGACCAGGGGAGTACCATGCTCTCACCTCAATACCAGGCAGCGCAATGCTGCTGTGTTTCGTATGGTGAGTGTTGAGAACCGTAGACCCATTTTACTGGAATCGATGCATTCCATCTTGGTACTCAGGGGTGACAATGCATCTGCATTTTGATTCTTAATCGAGATTAAATGTGGATGTCTATGGGCCACAGCATCCACTTACCATCAGGTGGACTGTGTGCTCGTTTGTCACCCTTATTCTCCAATAATAATAAAAAACACATCAAATAATCCCCTAGCCCTAGAAGGGAAGGTCGAACCAGCTACTAAAACCATGAATGATGAATATGATTATTGTCGTCTCTTTTCAGGATGGTATCACGGCTTTAGAGGAGTGTGTAAAGCCAGTGCTTGCTGTAGTTCACAATGCCTGCGTGGGAGCAGGAGTTGATTTAATAACAGCTGCCGATGTTAGGTGAGACTTGTGCCTGTCTTTATTACTTATATGTGGTAAACCTATGTAGTATGACGCTATGTAACCTAATGTTACTCTCACAGAATGTCAGTTTAAAATAGTAGCTTAAAGCTACTGTGTTTTGTATGGTGAGTGTAGAGAACTGGAAACACTTTTTACTGGAAAAGAGGCATTCCATCTAAGTCCTCAAGGATGACAACGCATTTGCATTTGATTCGCAAACGAGGATAGATGTAGATGTATATGAGCCACAGTAACCACTTACCATCAGGTAAACTGTGTGTGCATTTGCCCTTATTCTATAAATTGCTTTTTATAGAATAAGGGCAAATGCACACGATTGTGGCGGCGCTGTCGTCGCGCTACAAGCGAAACACATCGAAGCCTAAATCGCCGAAGTAGAACAATAAATATAAAATAGCTCCGAACTCTTTGGTCTGCGCTCCCCTTTCCCCAAGGGGGGTCGCTTCCGATACGGCTAAAAGACCTTACCAGGTCAAAGCTAGTTTCGGGTGAATTCCACATAACCATGCAGTCGGCTGCGTGGTATGCTTAGGAAATTCACAATCTCCCTCACCCGCTTCCCGGAGGGTAGCCGTTTACTTTGCTTCTGGGCGCAAAAAAAAACTACTCGGCACGTTGGCCGCTCCCCGGGCAGAACACCTTGCCCGGCGCGAGATCCTCCCTTTTCCTCACAGCCACAACAACTATGTCTATAAATTACTTGACAAATACTCCTGGAGTCTACACAGTCCTAAGTAGAAACATCTAGAAAATGAATATTTTCTAGTTGTAATAGAACAAATTTATATGTTAACGTTTTAACACAGAGACACATCATATTCATTTATTTTACATCAAAAGTGAACTGCTGCCACAGTTGCCATACTTGGCACCTGAGTTTTACCACTAAGCGATTTAAAAGTGGTTTTCTTCCTCGCACAACTTCCTTGTAGAATCAACTACCACCAGAGATTTTTCCGGACCGAAACGTCTTAGGGACATTCAAGAAAAGAGCCTATTCCTTTTTAAAAGGCAGGCAACGCATCTGCAATCCCCCTGGTGCTGCAGTTGTTCATGGGCGGCGGTAATCACTTACCATCAGGTGAGCCGCATGCTCGTTTGCACCCTCTCTTATAAAAAAAGAGTTAGCAATTTGCAATTATTTATTATATCAGGAAGATTACTACATCCAAGGGTATGGTGTAAAGGATTCTCTTGCGTTGCTACTGCACGGTGACATGAAAGCCCCCCCCCCCCTTCCACTACTATAAGATTAAGAAATCGAATTAAACATTTAGGATGCAGTGTTAAGGTCTCGGTTCACTAGTCGGAACTGCATCGCAGCGGAACTGAGCGACACGAGTTGGTCAGTTGATCAACTTTGGCGCGCAGTTCTGCTGCAGTGTAGTTCCTTTGCGGCTTAGTGTTGTCTCATGATTTCATATAAAGAAGAAAGGCGTATCGTGTCGCTCAGTTCCGCCTGAATAATAATAATAATATCCTCCAGACCGAATTTCGGCCACGGGGGCCTGCCTCAACGGAGACTAGCCATCTGCGCAGAACAGGATTATGGTGCCCAAGTGTATGCGCAAGCACAGGTGCACTCTCTATTTCCTCACTCTCATAATCTCATGGGACGGTAAAGTGACACGAACGGAGAGAGATCAGGCCCAGAACCAACGGCTTTACGTGCTTTCCGAGGCACGGGGGTGAGACACCGCCAACTTCTGGACTCCGGGCAACTACTGAGAATTTCTTGACGAAGAAACTCAATAATTAATTTTTGCAACGACCGGGATTCGAACCCAGGACCTCATGGTCAACAGTCGCACTACTACAACCACTAGACAAACGAGGGAGTCCCATATTCGGAGCACAATATAACCAAAACTTAAAAGTTCAACAATTTGTTACTGTATAATGTTGCCTTTCGGCTGAGATTCAAATCTAGAAAGAATGATTTGTTTGGATATTTTGTCCTCTTTTACTAATGGACGTTGAATTTTGAAACAAATATTTTCAACCATCAAATATTTTGCGTTTCTCTAGGTACTGCACAGAGGAGGCATGGTTCCAAGTGAAAGAAGTTGATGTTGGCTTAGCCGCTGATGTTGGCACTCTACAGAGGTTACCCAAGGTAGTAAAAATCAATGATTCTATTCATATAACTATAAAAATGTTATTAACCATGTAGTGGTGGTGGTAGCATTTGTTTCAATATCCACTACCTCATATTGTCCCAGTGGATGTTAGAAGCAACAGAGGGAAATTGAATGAAATGTGTAGCACATAGAACACTATAATACATACATAACGGGTGAGTAGGCGGAGCCCGTGTAGCCGCTAAAATGTCACTATAGTCAACCAAATCTAAGAAATACCTTTTGACGTTTCACATTAATCATTCCGCAATAACTTTGCACAAGCGTACTTGCATGATTTAAAATAACCTTTTACGTAAATCCGAAGAATTATGAAGTTATCTATATTTCATTACAACGTGTATAGTTTCTTATCACTAATTTAAATTCGAATCTTTCAAACAAAGCAAAATATAAAAGAAATAACCAGTATCAACTTTTTTTTACTTGACGTCGTTTCAATTATATGTCGCTATGTACCTTATCATAGTGTTTGGATGATTAAAATTCATTGTTATGTGAATAATCGGCAAAAATATTCAAATAATCTGTAACAATGATCAAATAATCGAATCTTTTTTTTTAATGTATTTTTTATTTTTAAAATTCCTTAAATTGCAAGAATCAATAAGAATAAAACAAGTTTTTTTTTTTACTTTATCAAAGTAAATTTGTGTAAGCAAAAAACTCATATATACTTTCAATCTTGTGTGATTTTGTATTTGTCTTCTTATTTTGTTACTCGGCTTTAACTTTTTGGACTATTTCTTCTATATTCCTTGAAGCATGTACCCATATCACAAAGGATGATTGGTCAAAGGTGGTAAAATACAAAAAAAAATTGATTATGAAAGACTTTGAAAGGGACATTAATTTTGACTGCATTATTGAAAATCAAATAATAATTAATCTAAACAACGACAGCTCAACTAGTTGTATTGAAAGTGATTGAATATATTTCTTTTTAATCTGCCTCTAGAAATAAGAAATAACGACGAATACGAAGAAACTGATAAATCTTGTGTTTTAAATTATCCCTTTTTAATTTTTTCTGGTATTATTGAAACCAAACTGTAAATGATTACCAACTCTAAATAAAAGTTATCGATTTTTTTTAATAATCGTATTTTGTACGTTCCCATTTTTTGGTTGGCATGCTTGGTGCAATAAGTCTGACAGCTGTCAAAATGTATTTTTTAGATTTGGTTGACTATAATATTACAATTCACACGTATAACTGTCATCACGAGGTGTGTTTTGACGTTACAATCGTTTCCAAATTTCGCATGCAAATTATTTTAAAAATTCCAAATCGCACCCTATTTACAATTAAATATGTATTAAAATTTAAACGATTTTTTATGATGATCTTGAACATTAATCAAAAGTCTAAAATGTTTAAATTTACGCAGTCTGTCAACAGCGAATCTGGTTTGAAGTAGTGATAATACGACGTAATTGCTTATATGTGTATGCTCCCGGCGACGTTGACCCGCGTACAAAATAAGGTTGACAGCCATTCTATTGTGTGTTATAGTATTCTATGATATAGCAGTATCTTCCTGATAACAACTCAAAATTATATGAAAAGTTACGATTGCAAACCTGCCTGCCAAGCTTGGCAACTGTCAAAATCCTGCCTGTGGAGCAATTTGTATGGGGAGGAGGGGGAGCTGTTTGGCAGTGGACTTTTATAGGCTGTAATTGAATAAATTGTATTAATTAAATTGACTCTTTAATTACTGAACACCAATTAAAACTTAAATCACACTAATAATTATTCACACTTAACGCTTTAGTTCACTTTATTTCACTCTGAAAGCTTCGCTCGTATCGCCAATTCAATACTGCCCCGATCGCGGCTCTCAACGGCTTTAAATAGGCCTTTTCCACGAAACATCCAGAATATTCCAGCAAATACCGGTCCCGACCGACTAAGTTCAGAATGTCGACTGTGGATGGATGTGGTTTTCTAGAAAGGTTAGTTATTCTATTCGATACTAGATGGCGCTGTTGGGAGAGTTCTAGAAAGATCTTGACACTCCTATTTCTGATAATTGATACCAGATGCCATCCACTTTGTCGCACAACAGTATGTTATAACTAAAAGCCGAAGTGCAGTTACACTTATGTTTAGCCGGCTACAACTAGGCTTACACTCATGTTTAGGTTCATTTTTGAATCTAGACAATAAGTGTCACCAATTGGGTGCTCAAGTCAACTCTCTGCACACAAGCCCTGTAGCGGACATACTTAACGAACCTAAACTCCGCCCATCCATCGCGCGGACTCTCCGCTCGCCGCTTACCGCAGGGTTAACTAGAGACGGGCAAGTGAAAAGATATATCGATATTTTTAAACAGTATCGATATATATTTCTTATTACGAATCAAAATGAAGATTCGTTTTCACCGTGAAGACTAAGATGGAATGCCTCGTTTCCAGCAAAAAGGGTCTCCGGTTCTCTACTCACTATACAAAACGTAGTAGTGTTAAGGTGCTATTTTATGCTGATATTCTGTGAGAGCGTGGTCCTTCCTCGGTCAAGCCGACCCGTTCGTGCTACAGCTATGCTACTAATATAGTTGCAGCATGGCTCTACTACGTATAATGTATAAGTACCACCAGCGTAAAATAGTAAGCTTAATGTTGCTGCGTTTCGTATGACGAGTGTAGAGCACTGAAGACCCTTTTTACTGGTAACGAGGCATTCCAGGCTCAGAGGTGACAACGTATCTGCATTTTGTTTCTTTATCAAGGATAAATATAGATGAAGACGTCTACGGGCCAAAGCATACACTTAGCATCAGGAGTGGGCTTGCTTGTACTAAACAAAAAACACTCACTCTGCTGGTCTGTGATGATGGTGATGAAGTTAATTTATATTTTCTTAATAATTTGTTTAATCTTTCATAATTTAATAAATTATTATCACCTTTTCAGGTGATAGGCAGTGCATCCATTGCTCGTGAGTTATGTTTCACGGCAAGAAAACTGCAATCAAAAGAGGCATTGGAAATTGGACTTGTTAGTAAAGTGTTTACAGATAAGGAGAGGTAAGTTGTAACTGATATATATATATTTGAACGATGGTCATTAAATTTTGTGTTATATTTTCTAAAATCATTAACATTTAATAGAGAATTATAAAATTTTTTTTATAGGATAGACTGACAAACGAGCACACAGTCCACGTGATGGTACGTGGTTGCTGTGGCCCATAGATATCTACATCTATCCTCGATTACGAAGCAAAATGCAGATGTGTTGTCACCCGTGAGGACTAAGATGGAATGCCACATTTCCAGTAAAAATTCTCCGGTTCTCTACACTCACCATACGAAACACTGCAGCATTAAGATACTATTGTACGCTAGTATTCTGTGACAGCGTGATCCTTCCCCGGTCGAGCTGACCCATTTGTGCTACAACTATACCTAACGAATTAACTTGCAACCTGGGCCTATGACTTATATTGATCAATGTTACGGTGTGACAAAATAATGCGTCGTAATATTTTTTTATTTGAAATTTTTGAGATTTGCATGAGATTATTAATAAAAACAAAATAAAATGTTCTGGCAAGGGGTGAAGTAATAATTGATATACTGTTGCCATTTTTATATATTTTAAATATTTTTTTAATATATATAATATTGTTTTTAGTTAACGCGTCAAGGAAGGACAAAGAAATAAACATACACACTTTCTCATTTATAATATTATTAATTTATTTATTATACACTTTATTGCACTATAAAAAGTGTTATAGATTCGTACACAATAAAAATACAAAGCATAACAGGCGACCTTATTGCTAAAAAAGCAATCTCAAAACAAACAAAAGTCCAAACCAAACAACAAACAATTATAATAAATATCGAAAATATCGAACTAGAGTCGAGACGCGTATCCGTAACAAAAACGCTATCGGTACTGAGCGCGCACGGCCAGCGCGGGACGCGGTGCGGGGAGTCGGGAAGGGGGTCGCATTCCAGCGGAGTCTCAAGTTAATTCGTACGTGTTGTACTTCTAACATAACTGCAGCATGGCTCTACCACTTATAAAATGATCAATGTTATGTGACAAAACAATCTGTAACTATGATTGTGCGTGTAATAGGTATAGTAGATAATATTCACCGCAATAACCGCAAGATCATCACATAATTCATCAATTTGTTAATACTTCTTTGTAGTACTTTTAGTGTTATTTTTAACCGTAATGATTTCTTAAATTTACGCGAACACTACACATTGAATAAAACTAAATTTACGGATTCTATCGCGTTTATTTAACTGATTTTACTTATTTTTATTATCCCGACGTTTCGGGTGCTTTACAGCAACCATGGTCACGGAGGGAACTGAGATGTTTGACGTCCCAATGTCATTGTTAGTCCGGCTACCTTCAGTTTTTGAATATTAATTTTTGGTCCGATTTACGCAAAACTAACTTACAGTATCTTGAAGTCTTGCAGTGGTATGCTTGGGTTTGGGTTTAATTTTGTTAATTACAGGATCCCAAGCAGATGGCAGCACCCAACCATCTTCTCTATTGAAATTAGGATGTTTTTTAATTTCAATAGCCTCGCGTATCATCCTTGGTAGGAATCGGTGTTCTTTTGCGAGGATTTGTGGTTTATCAAATCTGATGTAATGGTGGGGACGATCTTGAACATGTTCACAGACTGCAGACTTCCCGGAGCGTTATTTTTAACCGACTTCAAAAAAGGCGGAAGTTCTCAATTCAATTGTATGTTCTTTTTTTTTGTTTGTATTGTGTGCGATATCTTCTCAGATTGTGAACCGATTTTAATTATTGTTTTTATTAAATAGGCCTACCTCATGGTCCCATTCAATTTTGAAGAAAAAATTTCCACCCCCAAGAGTAGGAGAAAAAGTTTCATATTGAACTATTGTTTAGGGAACTTCTTATGATATCTTCGCAGATGAAGAACCAATTTTAATGAATCCTTTTTTCTTAAATATGTTACACTTCAAGGTTTGCTCCAATGTAAATTTGGAGAACAAATTCCACCTCTTGCAAATAAATAACTTCTTTTTTTAAAATTTGAAGTTGTTTTTTACATTTTAATTTATATTTTTGTCATCATCATCATCATCATTACAGCCCTTCAAGTCCACTGCTGAACATAGGCCTCCCCCAAGTAATGCCACAAAGCACGGTCCTGAGCCACCTGCATCCATCGACTTCCTGCATATCTTACCAGATCGTCACTCCATCTAGTGGGGGGTCGCCCTACACTACACCTACCGGTACGAGGCTGCCACTCGAGAACCTTTCTTCCCCATCGGTTATCGGTTCTTCGAGCTATATGGCCGGCCCATTGCCACTTCAGCTTACTAATCCGTTGGGCTATGTCGGTCACTCTGGTTTTACTGCGGATATCCTCATTTCTGAGTCTATCACGCAGAGAAACTCCGAGCATAGCCCTCTCCATAGCTCGCTGAGCGACCTTGAGCTTCCTCATACGGCCAGCAGTGAAGGACCACGTCTCAGATCCGTAAGTCATCACTGGCAACACGCACTGGTTGTACAATTTAGTATTTAGAGATTGAGGTATACGAGAAGATATGTCGTAATTTCCCGAACGCTGCCCAGCCGAGTTGAATCCGTCGATTGACCTCTCTGTCGAAGTTGGACTTACCTAGTCGGACTATTTGTCCCAGGTAAACATACTCGTCAACAACTTCGAGCATAGTGCTCCCAACAACTACCGGCATAGGTGTGACATGGACATTAAACATGATCTTTGTTTTGTCCATGTTCATCTTAAGACCTATCCGTTGGGAGGCACTGTTGAGGTCATTGAGCATAGTGCTCAAGTCCTCCAGCGATTCTGCCATAAGGACTATATCGTCGGCAAATCGAAGGTGAGTGATGTACTCGCCATTGATGTTAATACCGTATCCTTTCCAGTCCAGTAGCTTGAAAACGTCTTCCAAAGCAGCGGTGAAGAGTTTCGGGGATATAACGTCACCCTGTCTTACACCTCTCGGCAGTTGGATAGGTTTCGAGCTATGGTTCTGTACTCGGATAGCCATCGTAGCCCTACTGTACAAACACTTCAGCACTTCGATATACCGACAGTCAACTTGGCACCGCTGAAGGGACTGCAGCACCGCCCAAATTTCGACGGAATCAAAGGCTTTCTCATAGTCCACATACGCCAGGCAAAGTGGCAAATTGTACTCTTCAGTCTTCTGTACAATCTGCCGCAGGGTATGTATGTGGTCTATGGTACTGAAGCCTTTTCGGAAACCGGCTTGTTCGGGAGGCTGGAAGTCGTCGAGTCTGCGTGCGAGACGATTCGTAATGACTCTCGAAAACAGCACGTAGACGCGGCTCAGAAGGGAAATCGGTCTGTAGTTCTTCAAGAGAGCGTTGTCGCCTTTCTTAAAGAACAAGACCACCGCACTTCTGCTCCACGCCTCTGGAGTAGTGCCACCATGGAGGACGGAATTGAAGAGCTTCTGAAGGACTTCCAGTACCGGTGTTCCACCCGCTTTCAGAAGCTCCGCTGTAATTCCATCCTCGCCTGGGGCCCTGCCGTTTTTAAGGTGCTGGAGAGCCATTCCAATCTCGCTTAGACTGACGTCCGGGATATCATCGGAATAATGTCGGATAAGACTTAATCTTGTGTCGTTACTCACACTTACGTGTGGCTCCAACGATGATGTGTACAGCTTATAGAATAGAGCCTCTCAATCTCACTCAAAATCTCAGGTGTCCCGGAAATGATACTGCCACACTCAGTCTTCAGCTTTGACAATTGGCTCTTTCTGGCAGACAGATCTCTGGCAAAGACTTTGGAGCCCTGGTTCCGCTCGATCGCATCTTTAATACGAGCAGTATTAAAGTTGCGTAAGTCTCGCCGCATGCATTTGGAAATCTGTCTGTTCAGTTGCCTGTATGCTGTCAAATCTGTTGACGATTGCAGCCTCATCTCCCGTCTAACAGCCATGAGATTAAGAGTGTGATCGGAGAGTTTTTGTATTCTTCTGCGGCGGGTCTTGCAGAACTTAGCTCCGACCGCATGGACAGTTTCCACGAGCTTGTCATTGATATCGTCCACTGCATTGCAATCTTCTAGGCACTGAAAGCGGTTACGTAACTCGAGCTGAAAGGTTTCGGGATTCTGGATTAGAGCACGAGGGGGACGGAGCGTTGACCTCATTAGACGAGACCTCTCCAACTTAACGTTTAGGTTCAGTGTGCCTCTAACCATTCGGTGATCGCTGCCAGTTTTCACCCTTGCGATCACTGAGACATCACTGAACAGTTGGCGTCTGGTCGTCATAATGAAGTCAATCTCATTTTTTGTCGAACAGTCGGGGCTCGACCAGGTCCACTTCCTGTGGGGCCGCTTCTGGAAGAAAGAGTTCATCATAAAGAGTCCCTCTTTCTCCATAAAGTCGGCCAGCTGCTGGCCCCTTCGGTTCCGTTGCCCTACTCTAAATTTCCCTAACTTCAGCTCACCGCTTTCTCTTGTGCCTAGTCTTGCGTTGAAGTCTCCCATCACCACCGTGTAGTGGGTTTTATTTTTGTATTATCTAATAAAGTTAAACTTGTAAGAAATGCTGTGAGCCCTATGCACGCACTATGGTGTTTACATATTATTAAATGTCCACTTGGTTTATATTATGTTCTTATATATGTTCTAGAACGTTCCATAATTGTTGGTGAACCAAATTAATAAAACAAAATGGAATGAAAAATATGTCATTCCTTATAATTAATAGAGATTCAACAATGTCTGATCTTCTGTTCTACTCTGTGTGTCCCCTGTCGATAATTTTTTCAAAGGAACACTTTTAAGGTGATACCTCGAAAATTTGTTGGTTTTCTATTTAACATATTTTTTTTAAGTTTTATAAATTACAAACAAACTTTTTGGTCTATGATTTTTGACTATATGAGCTTGGATTGCATAAAAGGAAAACACGATATCATGTAATTATCTCGATAGAAAAAAATTGCAAAGTAGGCTCTAATTATTTACATTTCTCGATGACACCACAATATTCTTACGAATAATTCCATGGAATTATTTTTAAGGCATAGTATATAATCATATCTAAGTTCTCATAAACCAGTTTTTTAATCCATAACGAATTTTGTTAAAATAAATAAAAATGCTGTTTGGCGCTTACTTATTTTCCCATCTCATAATTTGCGTACTACGAAGTCATTGCATCACTTTCATTTTGACACTCCCGCAGTCGTCCGTTAGCTTCACCGACAAAGGAATAAGCCACGCCCCCAAAACTTCGATTCATTTTCAAGGTATCCTCTTAATTAAATATGTTGTGTAATTTTAAACTTGGTGATACACATTCTTTGTATATTTTCTGTGACGTTGTTCTAAGCATGTATACAGTGATTATGAAGTTTTTACATAAATAATACTTGTAATATTCTGAAAATTGTATGGATGACACCATCATTGATAAATTACTACACATTTTTATATCTATATTACGTTCCTTAATTCATTTGCTCTGAATTTGGTTGATATTTAATTTTAAGTTAGGAACTTTATTTGTCCACAAAACATTTAGAAATAAAATAAAATGTAAGCTCTTTATTTTGTGACGTAAGAGATTAAACGAAAATTCGCGTATTTTCTGACGGATAAAATGTGGACACTAGTGACCACTATGGTCACAGTGTATATCAAAACTCACCCAACTATTATAGTTTTAAACTGAACTTAGAGTATGTAATTACATACATATGTATGCAAAAAATAAGGTTCCTCTGTTCAGTATAGAAACTGCGAAAGGAACTCCGAAAAAAGAGAGTATCTCTTTTTGTCATCTTTTTTTAAAGTCAATGACACAGTATTCTTTACAATAAATGGAGAGGAATAGACCCATAAATAATCAAAGCATGTTTTATAATATAATTACACAACAACAATATGCGAACAGGACGGCAGTAGGCAATTAACATAAGGTGAGCCGCATGCTCGTTGAAAAAAAAAATTAAAATCTTACAAAACCAAGAAATATGTTGCAAACCCCAGCAGACAAATCTCTTAAAGCTACATTTGGTCACAAGTATGGTGTATGTGCAGACCCTTCAATCTCTAAGCGGTCGAATTCGACCGCGGCGCTATTCCGTCAAAATTCAAGCGGTCGGATTCGACCGCGCACACCCACAGCACTTTAAACCATTAAAACTTATATTTAGAGAATACTTTTCTGTAGGTGGGTGCGGTCAGATGCGACCACTCGGAATTTGACGGACACATGCGACTGCATGGAAAGTGGACGATCCTTCGCAAGAAACTGCCAAGACCTTTAAGCGAAGATGACATACTCTGATGATCATGAGGGATGCGAGTCTCGGTGCCACCTTGGAAAGCACGTAAAGCCGTTGGTCCTGTGCCTGAACCCTCTCCGGTCGTGTCTGATTACCGTCCTATTGGAATATGAGAGTGAGGGAATAAAGATTGCACCTATGCTTGAGCATGCACTCGAACTATTTATTTCGAAAACCAACAGCGTATACAGAAAATATTTAATATTAATGTAACAAATTAAAAGTATGGCCAATAACAGGTTTCCCTTATTTTGCTTGATGGTATATTGTTGTTGGAAGAAATACAAATAAAAACAATCCAAAAGACAAATCATAAGCAATTTAGTGTAACGAGGGTGGTCACAAGCTTACAGATATGTTGAGTTCTTTGGAGGGTCTGGTAGATTGATATTATATATTACATGAATGCATATACATACACACATACGTATATACAAACAAACACACACACACATATATATACGAACACAATAAAAGTAATTAAGCATAAATAAAATAACTTATTTAGATTTTTTACGAGTATACTGGCAGCCAAAAAATACATATTAGGGCAAGGAAAAAAAGAAGAGATGTGATCTGATAATTCTATTGTCCTTCACAAAATGGCGGCCAGTTCCCGTTAAGACAGGCTGCCGTGACCGAAATTCGCACTGAAGGACATTTTAATTACACATAAGTCTCCTCCTGTCTCTATCACTTTACGTCATAGTGACTTTAAATAAGCGTTTGGGTATCTATCTTTTAAAAAACTTTACCGCCACACTAGGATTTTCTCATTTATTGTGGGGGGCAGTTTACAAACATAAATTGCACAAGGACAAACATCCAGACCCGGAACAATTACTTGTAGGCCATACAAATATTTGTTCCGTGCGGGATTCGAACCCGCGGCCCTTAACGTTGTAACTCATTGCTAAGCCACTGCGCCTCGGAGCCGTCAAAACGTGTCGGGTATTTGGGCACATGACTTCATTTTCTCTAAATCCGTACAATTTACATAGAAGTTTCTTTTTAACAGCTCGTAAATAGTATTTTAATTGACGTAATTGTCAACTACCCTCATACTTTCTCTGTGGAATCGAATAACTGGATTACAGTCCAGCTGAAAACACTTTGGAATTTGTTTTCACTATTCAAAACATGTTTACCAGATTTGAACACTTGCTATCTATTCCAGTGCAATCCAGCAAGTGCTGGAAGTGGCTGAAACCATCGCCTCCAAGAGTCCAGTGGCAGTGCAAGTCACCAAACAATCGCTAGTGTATTCACAAAGCCGGCCTACGTCCGAAGGATTGGAACATATAGTAAGTATATATTGACTTTTTTTTATAGAAGAGGGGGCAAACGAGCATGCGGCTCACCTGATGTTAAGTGACTACCGCCGCCCATGATCAACCGCAACACCAGGGGAATTGCAGGGCCCTTTAGAAAGGAGTAAGCTCTTACTTCTCTGTAACTTTTAATAGTGGTCAGTTCATTGACTGTGTGTGTCTGTTGTTAGTCAAGTGGTCGTAAACGAGACTGCTGATATACTTATGATCCCGGGTTCGAATCCCCGGTCGACAAAAAAACAAAATCCAGTAATTGGGTTTTTCTTTTTTTTATAGGATAGATATTGTTGTCCCAACGGATGATAAGAGTGTGGAAATAGAAGTCCTTTGTAGTTGCACTTATTAATAATGTCCTCCAGACCGAATTTCGGTCACGGCGGCCTGCCTCAACGGAGGCTAGCCATCGGCGCAGGACAGGATTATAGTGCCCAAGTGTATGCGCAAGCACAGGTGCACTTTCTATTCCCTCACTCTTGTAATCCAAAGGGACGGTAAACCGACACGACCGGAGAGAGATCAGGCGCAGGACCAACGGCTTTACGTGCTTTCCGAGGCACGGGGGTGAGACACCGCCAACTTCCTGACTCCGGGCAGTTACTGAGAATTTCTCGACTGAAAAACTCAATAATTGATTTTTTGGCCCGACCCGGGATTCGAACCCAGGTCTTCATGATCAGCAGTCGCACTACTACAACCACTAGACCAACGTGGCAGTCTAGTAGTAGTTGCACTTACTCATCATCATCATCATCATCATTACAGCCTTTCACAAGTCCACTGCTGAACATAGGCCTCCCCCAAGTAATGCCACAAAGCACGGTCCTGAGCCACCTGCATCCATCGACTTCCTGCATATCTTACCAGGTCGTCACTCCATCTAGTGGGGAGTCGCCCAACACTACGCCTACCGGTACGAGGCTGCCACTCGAGAACCTTTCTTCCCCATCGGTTATCGGTTCTTCGAGCTATATGGCCGGCTCATTGCCACTTCAGCTTACTAATCCGTTGGGCTATGTCGGTCACTCTGGTTTTACTGCGGATATCCTCATTTCTGAGTCTATCACGCAGAGAAACTCCAAGCATAGCCGACATAGCCAGCTAAGTCAGTTCAGTTCACTTTACCACTGTGACCGTAGAAATGGGGAGATCTCCCGCCGGGCAAGGTGTTCTGCTTGGGGAGCGGCCAACGCTTTTAGTAGTCAGTAGTAGTTCGGAGCTATTCTTTATACACTGTTTCTACTTCGGAACTTTGATAGCGTGATTTAGGCTTCGATATGTTTCGTTTGTGGTGCGACGACAGCGCCGCTACACCATCTTTGACTGCAGCACCACTCTCTTGACTTGATTACTGATCTTGTAATAGTTTAAAAAATGTCTTGAGTTACGGTATTGAGTGTTATAAGAGGCGATTTTGAGAATTCAAGAAGATCCTTGGAATGCTGTAAGTTGTGGTAGAACAGTATATGCCAGACGTACATACAGGCTGGACACTGAACACATATGAAGTGTTAAAGCCACGCTGCATCTATATTTAGGTTGTAGCACGATTGGGTTAGTTCGACCGGGGTTAAACCACTCTCTTACAGAATACCAGCGTAAAATAGCAGCTTAATGCTATGTTTTGTATAATGAGTGTAGAGAACTGGAGACCCTTTTTACTGGAAACGAGGCATTCCGTCGTAGTCCTCAGGGGTGGCAACACGTCTGCATTTTGATACTTAATCGAAGATAAATGGAAATGTCCTTGGGCCACAGCATCCGTTTACTATTAGATGGGCTGTGTGCTCGTTTGTCACTATAATTCTAAAAAAAATTGTAAGTTAGTTTTTGAGTTATGAGCGAATGGGGGTAGAAAGTAGTTCAAAATGGTTCATGTTAATATATTTACAAAGTGCGGGTGCGTCGTCCGTTCTCAAAACTTGTATCCGAATTGGATGATACACTACCGTGTGCGTGGTGCACCCACCCACCCCACAAAACAGGAAAAATCATAATGGGATAATGTTTCATTCAGTCATCCTAATATTTACATATTGTATTACTTTTAATGAAACAATTTTTGTTTTTGTGTATGGGAGGTAGTTGTCACTTACCATCATGTGACCCGCATGCTCGTTTGCCCCCTCTTATGTAAAAAAAAATACAATCAACATTTCTAGAGATATGCGCGACTGCCCTAAACCCAAACCAGTACTTTCGAAATTTCTTTACTTGCCATTCGAAATTTATCCGCTATTACTACAACTATTATATAACAATAAATGAATTAATTGAGTGACAATATTAATCGTCAATTATTTTTATAGTCTGTTCGCTAAGAAAGTGTCGGTACAGCCGGAGGCGCACTTATTATTTTGCTTTTTTTACTGTGTTTGTTAAATAAATGTTTTTCTATTCTAAGAATAAAATATAATACTATTTTATTCTTATGGTTATTGTAATAAAATATGAATATAAATAATAAACACAAGTACGGTAAGAGCTTTTCACTAATTAAATGTAAGAACCTTTCACTACGTCGGTTTGTTTTAAAATGACAAATTCTCTTGTGGGAGTACGCCGCAAGCGGTGACCTTTGAGGTCGCGGCAGTGCCTTATCCTATGTGTCCTATGCCAATGCGTAGCAAATCGCAGTCAACCATTGGCGGGCGAGGGCTACTCTCCCTTCGCGCGTACGAATTTACAAAAACACTAGGGGTAGGGCAGACAAGACTACGTGGAGTTGCAGCGTGCTGATTCAGTTTTAATATCTGTCGAAATGATTCGACCAATCATTGACAAGATGCGGCACATACCAAGGCAGCGCAGCGCGACACAAAGGCGACCGTATCTAAGCAAACAGGCTATAGACGGAAACATCAAAACGATTTTTGCTGTCGGCTCTTGTTTATTTTTAGCAGACTTAAAAAGGGGAGGTAACTGTATGTTTTTAGTAGGGATATACGTTACGCGATATAACAAATTTAAATGAACCTTTTTTAAATAGTCTGATGGTTCCATTTAAAATTAAAGAAAAAAATTCCAACCCTGAGTACGGAAAAAATAAGAAATGAAAACCGGCCAAGAGCGTGTCGGGCCACGCTCAGTGTAGGGTTCCGTAGTTTCCCGTCCGTCACAATAAGTGTTCCCACTTATGAGTTTAAAGGTGGGTATCCATTATGTTCGCGCTCCTGCAACTGCTCCCGGTAGTGGATACGTGCGCGAACATGGAGCGTGCAGCATTGCACGCTCCGCGGCAGGCACTTCCACTTTCCATCCAAGTTCAAAATGATTTTCCTAGAAAGTCCTTATAAAGTTCTACCTTTCAGATTTTTTCATATTTTCTAAACTTATGGTTCAAAAGTTCGAGGGGGGGGGGGTGGACACATTGTTTTTTACTTTTGGAGCGATTATTTCCGAAATTATTGACATTATCAAAAAATGATTTTAGTAAACCCCTATTCATTTTTAAATACCTTTCCAACAATATATCACATGTTAGGGTTGAAATTAAAAAAAAAAATCACTTCCCACTTTACATATAGGGGGGCTACCCTAATAAAACATTTTTTCAAATTTTTATTTTACCACTTTGTCGGCGTGATTGATACACATATTGGTACCAAATTTCAGCTTTCTAGTGCTAACGGTCACAGAGATTAAGCGAGGACTGGCAGACGGACAGACAGACATGGCGAAACTATAAGGGTTCCTAGTAGTCAACCATATCTAAGAAATAAATTTTGACAGCTGTCAGATTTATTACACCAAGCATGCCAACCAAAAATGGAAACGTACAAAATTCGATTCTTAAAAAAAATCGATATCGATTATTTAGAGTTGGTAATCACTTATAGTAAGGTTTGAATAATACCAGAATAAATTAGAAATTAATAATTTAAAACACAAAATTTATCAATTTCTTTCATTGAAGTATAATGTACTTACGTACTAGAACAGCTACTTCAAACAAAAACTGTGCGCTACTCTATGTCGTTGCGTATGGGCGGTAAGCAGTCGTGACGCGCATATGCGGTTTTTTGTCGTCATAGATTAGTTAGGTAGAATGATCAGTGTGTAATTAATAATTATTGTTTATTTAAATTACATAAATTGTAATTAATTTATTAAAACGAGTTAAAATTTAAATAATTTGTCAATTATTCTGAATATTAAGAGGTAAATTAATACGATAATAAATAATATTATCACAATTGCATTTGAATATTACATTTTTATATGAATATTTTAAAAGATAACTATATAAAATGAAAGGAATCGAAGCAAATGAAATATATTTATTTAAATCACTTATTTGTTTTCTTTTTGCTGAAAATTAATTTCAATTATTAAATTTATAAATGTTTTGGTAAAAATAAAAAATAAACGTTATTAAGTGCCTTTAACCAATATGAGTTTAGTTAATTTTTGCCGTTTAGATAAATATTCTTTATCTTGATCAGTTTTTGCTTCGTGTTTAAAACGAATATTTGTGTATTTATTTATGATAGCCCGAATCAAGTGAACCCTGTGATTGAAAGTACTTGGCTGATTAAATGAATGTTGAATTAAGGATGTAAATACCTCTTTTTCAATGAAAAATTCTAAAGTTTTAACAATAATGAAATTGAAGTTATATTTTATTCTTTGTCTTATAAGTTTTCGTATCACGGTTTCCGTGGTCAAACATATTTTATACACATCGCCAGTAGAGTAGCATAAGCCACCCATATCTTTGATGGTTATCAATTTGTGGTGTAGCAGCTTTTATGTCGTGATTAAGCTATTTACGCATTTTTCGCATTTTAATAATTTTGTTAAAATTCTGGCTATATATCCAGAAATGTATCCAACAATCAATTGGGAACTACGTGTAACATGTTCATTATATAGGATCTCAGCAAACATGTTACAATTATTTTCGGCTTCAATATCAGAATTCAGTATACAGGTAGATGATAAAACTTCATATTGTTGGTCATCATGTCTATTAA